TCGTTGTTAGTCATCTCGGGGCATCGTATGGACTGGCGAATTACTTTGCCTGTAGGGACTTCGAGGACGAGTCCCAGTCCCGACCCTGAGGCATTTGAGGCTCCATCGATGTAGAGGATCCATAGGTCGGTACGTGAGGAAGTGTGAAGTGCTTCTTGTTCTGCCTCAGGCAATATCTCTGCGCTGAAGTCAGTGACGAAGTCGGCGAGCACCTGCGACTTAATGGCAGTTCGCGGTTGGTATGGTGTGTCGTGCTCGCTTAATTCTATGGCTCATTTGGCAAGTCTAACTGACAGTTCGGGTTTATGCAGGATGCCCCTTAGGGGGGAAGGTTGTTACCACTTTTATGGGGTGACATTGAAAATAGGGTCTAAGCTTGCGTGAAGATACGACCAGTGCCAGAGCTAGCTTTTCAAGGTGAGGGTACCTTGTCTCGGCATCTATTAAAGTTTTGTTGATATAGTAAATGGGAGACTGTGTACCTTTATTTTTGCGGACCAAGACTGCACTTACTGCGACTTTAGAAACTGCCAAATACACAAACAAACACTCACCCGGATCAGCTTTGAGGAGTAGTGGCGACAAAGACAGATACGCTTTTAGCTTTCACGGGGCGTCGACACATTCCTCTTTCCATTGCAACCCGTGGTCTTTTCTCAGCACATTGAAGAATTTGTGGCATCTGTCCGAGGATCATGAAATGAACCTCGACAATGCGGCTATTCGCCCCGTTAGCTTCTGTACCTTTTTTTGCGGGTCAGTACCTCTAGTATTGTATCGATGGCTTTGATTTGAGCTGGGTTGACTTCGATTCCTCTTTGTGATATGAGGAAGCCGAGGAATTTTCCAGAGGTCACACTAAAGGCGTACTTCTCGGGATTTTGACTTCATCCCGTACTGCCTTAATATTTTAAAGGCTTCTTTCAGATGGCCAATGTGATCCTCTTTCTTTGTCGACTTTACCAGCATGTCATCGATATAGACCTCCATGGTCTTGCTGAGCTGCTCTTTGAACATCTTGGTGACTAGCCTCTGGTACGTGGCCCTTGCATTCTTGAGTCCGAACTGCATCACTTTATAGCAATACGTTCCTTGATGAGTGATGAAAGTCGTCTTTTCTCGATCTTCTCCAGCCATTAGAATTTGATTGTAACCGGAGTAGGCGTCCAAGAAGCTCAGCAATTCATGCCCCGTTGTCGCATCGATCAGTTGGTCGATATGGGATAACAGGAAGGAATCCTTTGGGCATGCTTTGTTTAGATCAGTGAAGTCCACACACATTCGCCATTTCCCGTTCTTCTTTTTTACCATGACGACGTTGGCGACCTATTGGGGGTACTTTGATTCTCTGATAGAACCGTTAGCGAGTAATATATCCACCTCTTCGCTAACTACCTCATTGATTGCAGCATTAAACTTTCTCCTCATTTGCCATACTGGCGGATAGAGTGGGTCGACATTCAGTCTATGAGTGGCGATGTCCTTTGGGATTCCTGGCATATCTGAGTGGGAGAAGGCAAATAAATCGGCGTTGTTAGTTAAAAATTCACGATGCTTACCTGGCTCCGAGAGGTTGTGCCCTATGTAAGCCTTTTTTGTGTTGCCGGCGTCATCCAATTGGACGAGGTCAAGATCCTCTATAGTTGCCTTGCAGGATTCTACGATATTTGGGTCTTTGGTGGCCTCTGTTTGTGGGTCAGGTTTAGTTCCCGACATGGCTGATTGTTATGCCTCTGCACTTGCTCCTTTCAGTTGTTTAGTGTGCATGCAATCTTGGGCGATCCGATAGCATTTTTGGGAGGTGCGTGGCTCACCTCGGATGTTGAATACTCCCTATGGGGTGGGAAATTTGATCACTTGATAGAAGCTTGAGGGGACGGCTCGTATGGCGTGTATCCATAGTCGCCCTATGATGGCGTTATAGGTTATTTCCTGTTCATGACATGGAATGTTGTTTCCAGTGTGACTCCCCCTACTAGGACAGACAGCACTATTTCTCCAGATGTCCGCTCTACTACATTGTTAAAACCCGTTAGTGTTATGCAATGCGGTATTATTTTATTCTCAAGCCTCATTTGTATGAGAACTCGTGGGTGAACAATACACGTGCCGCTTTCGTCATCTACCATGATTCTTTTTACATCTGTATCAACGATGTGTAAAGTTATAACCAAAGCATCATAGTGAGGGAAAGACAAATCGTCGACATCTGACTTATCGAAGATGATACTGTCTTTGAGGTCATCATACCGTTCGTGGGCGACCGTTTGTTTGAGTTTATGCGTGGTGGTGAACTTCACATGGTTGATTACCGTGTCGTCGCCACCGCCAATGATCATCTGTATGGTGTGTGATGGCGACAGTGGCTTTCTAGGCCCTTAAGATGGATCGCGTCCTCTGGCGAAGTTGGCCCTCCCTTTATTGCTGAGCAGTTCTTTCAGGTACCCCTGGTTCAACATCCTAACTACTTCCTGCCGCAGACCTATGCAATATTTGGTCTTGTGTCCTCTTTCTTGATGGAATTCACAAAGGACGTTTGACATCCTGGTGCTTGGGTCCGATTTCATTTTTGTGTCCACTGCACCTTCGTGTCCAGTTTCTCCAATGCGTACACTATCTCTGAAGGGGAAACACAAAAGTTATGAGCAGATAACAGTGGAGGCATACCTCTTTCGTTTCGAAGGGGTGCGATGTGTCGTAGAACGACATCCGTATGTCTTGGAGGGGGCGGGTTAGATGTTCGGACATAGGGCTAATGCCTTTCTCGATTGAAACGTGGGGGTTGATCCCTTCGCCTAGCGTTACGTCGATCTCTCCTTGACTCGGTCTGAACTGACGTTAATGCTGAATCGGGCCATTCAAATCGTCCTCATCTGCCCTTAGCTCGGCGCAATAGGCGCTGTGGATCTCTTCCCATGTGGTAGGGGGTACTTCATGGGTCTGCTGAGCAGTTTTTTGGTTGCCTTTGATCCGTTCTTGTTTAACCCATTTTGAAAGGCAGCTACTACCATCCCTTCTGACACGTTTGGCAGGATCATCCTTACTCTATTGAGCCGGTCCAGGAAGTCCCGAAGTCCCTCGCCCGTTGTTTGCCTGACGGCGAAGATATCATTGACCCTAGCTTCAGCCTTCTTCGCTCTTGCATGAGAGGTAGCAAATTTATCCGCCATCTCTTCAAATGTTGATATTGATCGTGTTGGTAGCTAGGAGTACCGCATCAATGCTCCCCCTGTCAAAGTCTCACCAAACTTTTTTAGCAGCACAGATGGTACATATTCCTTTGACAGATCATTGCCCTTTACCGCAGTAACATAATGGATTAGATGATCCTCTAGGTCCGTGGTCCCGTCGTATATTTTCAAGTATGGCGATATCTTAAAGGTTTTTGGAATAGGATGAGGAGCAGCCCCGTTGCTGTATGGCTGTTCGACGAATCGGCCCACATCGTGTTTTGGTAATAGCTTAGGGGCGCTTGGTATATTGTCAACCCTTTCCTGATGCTCCTTCATTTGATCACGGAGTGTTTTGTTCTCGTTTCCCATCTTTTCCATTTTCTTTAAGATGGCCATGAGCGCATCGTCACCTGCATCAGTGACAGTGCGGGTGTTGCCCGTTCGTGTGGTGCTTGGCTCGTTGGTGGTAGCTGCGATTTCTGTAGGTGGTAAGTCTTCGACATTTCCTTGAGGGAGTTTTCCGAGCATGTTGCTCAGAGCACTTGTCAACCATTCTTCTAGCAGTTTTTTGACTGCTGGTGGTGCTTCCCCCATCGTGGACGTTGAGGCTCCCCTTTGGCACAAGACCGTTACATCCCCGTGTGCAGAAGGTGAGGTCTCCCCCTCCGGTGTAACTCTTGGTGTTGTATTCTCAGTGTCTTCTCTACCGGCTTCGTTGAGGGAGTTCAGGAGATTGTTTGAGACATATGCTATCATCTTCAGCCTCGCTTCTTTTTCCGCCATTGTTGGTTTTTATGAGGTTTGAAGAACAGTAATCGTTACTTTCAAGAACCTAGATGAGAACTATGATTTCAGCTATGGAAATCCCCACAGACGACGCCAAATTGTTTGACTCAAAAGATACTAAAACCTTTTTGAACAAATCAATCAATGATGGAGGGGTAAATCGTAGCTGAAGATAATAAACTCTAGGATGATAATAATAGAGAGAAGAGAATTGTAAATTTCCTTTCTCATTCAAGGTTTGTGAATTTTACATCGTCTGCCCCTTCACAAGGCTCTCATTTCTCTTATATATTGAGGAATCCCCCCCCCCCCCCCCCCCCNCTGACCTGCAAAAGATCTTTAAGGAATATTCTTAATATCCCTTAAATGGTGCTTACTCTGTTGTCGAGGTCGTATTGTTCCTTCTTTTAATACAAGGTCGTATCCTTCTAGGCGTCGACGCGCAGGTGCTTGGCCGTTTGTCGTGTTCACTGCAGGTCGTGGTCGGTCAAATTCAGACCCATACAATATTATTGATCCCAGCAAGGAGAAAAGGAAAAGTATTTGTACGTTAAATAGCTCAAGTATCTAACTCAAAAAAAAATCCTAAATTATTTACAATATACATTGAAAACTTTAGCTTCTAATGTAAAAATTCATCTCTGATTGTATTCCATGGTGAGGCAGTCTACTATTCTTGTAGTAGTATTTTGTTTTTAACTTCACGCTGACAAAAAGCTGCATTCATGGCTGTGTAAGAACACTTTTGTTCGCATTGCTTTTTCGCTTTTATTAATTGAGAGTAGAGTCTGTTTACATGAACTATAAGGTTGTGATGATGAATTAATATTACTATAACCATCATATTATCTACCTTTTAAAATTTTCCATGCCTCTTAAAAAAGATACTACTTCATAACTTTAAAGATTTACTTATGTCTGAAATAATGTTTTACTTCTTTGGTACGTACTTCACTAGTCTGAGCAAGGTTGAGATTGAATTTGAACAAAATAAATAAATGCATTTTGTTTTGCTAAAAATCAAATATTTTAAACGAGTAATAGTGGAAAGGAGTTCGCGTAGATTTATTATGGCCAAATTTTGGGTTTACATGAGCAAGAATTGGGTCTGGTAACAGATTAAATTTGGGAGGCCTCTCGTTGCTGGTTGACTTCTTTATCTCTAAGCACGTCCCTACAGGAGCTTCCAGTGCAGTATACTGGCCACATCTTTTACCTACCAAAGCCCACCACAAACATACATATTTATATTTTGGAGACGGTACAACTTTTGAAACCAAAAGTACTACTACTATTATCACAAAGAAAATTTCACAATAAAAGGAAGAAGAACTCCCATTTCATCATTTATTCAGAAATATAAGAACTGGTGCTCTTTGATATTGGTTGATACATACAACAACATACAGTTCGATTTGGGAAATTACATAAAAGCAAAAGTGTTAGGGAAAAAAACCACTTAAAACGGTGGTTAAGTTCATACGGAAAGAGAAGGAGAAAGACCGAACTCAAGTCCCCACAGCTCAAATCCTCCATTCACAAAATCATAGTGACCTCCCTTCAATGCTAGTGTTTTCTTCACCAAACCGTCTCTCACAAATGGATAGGTCAACAAATTTCCAAGTGACACATTCACAGCTTCCTGCAATTTTTTTCAATTTCATTTTCATAATCAGTTATAACAAATATTCAAAAAAGGAAAAAGAAAAAAAAATGACAACCCGATGCATAGAGCATCTAGCGTTTATGCAGGGTATGGGAAACGGCCACACCTAAAGGGTATGATGTAAGCAGTCTACCCTAATGCGAGCATTAGTGGCTGCTTTTGCGACTTGTTGTGACGTTATCACAAATTATCCCAAAATAATTAAAGTTACCTTCTCACAAGCTGTGCATTGATCTGCAAAACATTTATCCACGTGTTCACCCTGCACCTTGGCCTTGGCAGGTAAACCAATTTTCACCCAATCCTCAATAAAGGCACTGCGTTATTAGATTAATTTAATTCGTGTATCATATATATCAGTGACATAACAAAAAATGTTTATACATATATATATAATTGTAGAAAAAGATTAAAGGTACGTACGTTGATTCAGAACCATCTGCAGGTAGAGACATGAGACCTTTGATACCTCCACAGGCGCTGTGGCCAATGACAACAATGTTCTCTACCTTAAGGTGGAGAACAGCGTATTCGATAGCTGCTCCAACTCCAGAGTATCTGGTCTGTTTAATTGATCATGACACAAGAATATTCAATCCCAACTTCAGAAATTCAGTTCCAACTAGTTCTGATTGATTAATTGATCGATAGATAAGATTAGAAAAATTAATGGCTAGAGATGTAAATAATTGACCTTGTCATAAGCAGGGACCATGTTGGCGATGTTCCGAACCACGAAAGCTTCACCAGGTTGGAAGTTCAGGATATGGGATGGGCACACTCGTGAGTCAGAGCAGGCAAAGACCATGTACTGTTACACATAGATGGCAATAGCAATCATCAGCTATCGAACTTGGACTTATAAGAGTCAATACAGACAGACACTTAAACTTGTCCGAATTTTTCATTTAGACACCTAAACTAAGCCCTATTGGACAACCCAGACTAGTTTAATTTTAAAAGGAGGAACCAATTGTTGACAATAAATTGACACAGTAGCATGAATTTGTACCTTGGGGCTCTGGCCTTTTGATAGTTCTCCATATAAGGCTGGGTTTTTCCTGATAATATATAATGAAAGAAAAAATTGAATTATCAGGAACTAATTATTCGAAATTATTTGTTCTTGAAATATTAGGCAGAAATTTTAATTTGAAGAAAATGAATTAGCTTACTCATATTTCTCAGTTTTGAAGTGAATAAAGCCAGCTTTCATGTGCTCAACAGGGTCGAATGGTTTGCTGCCATCTGATGATTGCAATTCAGCTGTAATCTGGTCAACTCTTGCTGCAGCAATTGGTCCAAGTTCTCCTTTCTCGCTGTAATGGCATAATTTTCAATATTCAATACCTTTTTTTGTGTTTATTAAAGCGGCATTTTAGGAAGGAACAAAGATTCAAGTGGTTTAAACACATTATTTTTACTTTTACCGATTACAAACATTGAAAAGAGTAATTAGCGCATCTATTTTGCATGATTATATCTTGACTACATTATGCAAATAATATATATATATATATATATATATATGAGTATTTATTATTCATCATATATGTGTCGCACATACTATATTTCCTGGCCCCTCTTGATCCAGAGGAAAAAAAATTAGTAGAGTTCGCCTATAACAACAACTACCAGTTGAGTTTCCAAATGGCCCGTATGAAGCCTTCTCCAATTGGTTCGTTTAAGCCTAGGGACGTATGATTTTAAAGGGTAGATTACAAACCTGAGGAGTTTCTCGAGTGCAGCAATGGCCTGCTCGTAGGATTCGTTAGCCATTTCTTCTCTCTGCAAATCCACATTTCGATCAGAATTTTTGAAAATATGAAACTTAAATTTTTCTCTCTTAATTACTGTGTCTAGAAGGCATAACAAATTAAAATTCAAAGAGATGGATGAAGCAACCTAAATACGATATGAAATAGTCAAAATTAGAAAGCAGTATGGATATCAGAAATGGCCAAGGAGTTGCACTTCACGCTTGTTAAAGTGCACTCACATCGAAACCCAAACTGAAAATCTAGCTTGGTGAAGATTTGAAATAATAGGATAAATCAAGAAGATGGGTTTTTCTTCAATTGGATATTAAAATCGAAGAAAACCCAACAGATGTCAAACAAGAAAGACAAAAAAAACGTTACAGAGCAACTAAGACGACAAGAAATACGTTATAAATGGACATTGTCCTACAAATTTTGTGGTAGTTATTACTTGTAGAATAGGCCAATTTACAAGGCTACCCATTGAATTACTGAATTTGTCTAACAATTAGCCAAAAAAAAATTAGAAATCTTTTTTTAATAAAAAGAGAGAGTAAAAACAATGTCCACATAATCCAAAATGCCCTACTTGTCATTTTTGCGAGAACCTCTAGGTGATTACCACGGGCGGAGTTATGTTTTCAACTTTATGGGTTCTGAATTTTAAAATAACGATTTTCAGTGTTAATAACTGGGTTCTAAATTTAATATTTGTATATATTAAATGAATTTCTTCATATAAATATAGTATTTGAGCAAAAATTACTGGGTTAAGGTGAACCCGCGTCAGGATTTCTAACTCCGCCCCGGGTGATTGCCACCTCTTCTTTTTTTGGTTATTTTCAAGATTGTTATAGTGCCATGGACTGCACGTAAATATAACAATGGAGGTGTATGCTTGATCAAAATGACAGCACTTCACCTAACTTCAGGAGATTCATGGCCAAAATAACTATTCCTACCCTAGGAGTTATTTAATATAATGCGAATCACGTGAACTAACATGCATGGAGATTTATGGTCATTACAAAGAGATAAACTACTTGCTAGCTAAAAAGAAACAACGTATTGGTTGAATGTAGTTACAGCAACAAATCCAGTTTGATCCCAATATATGGGGTCTGGGGAGGGTAGTATGTACGCAGGCCTTACTCCTAACTAATGCAGGTAAGAGAGGTTGTTTCCAATTAGAAAAAAAAAAGCAATACCAAGATAGAGTAAATAACTTGTCGTAACAAGTTAAAGTACAGTGACAGTGTAAAATTAAAAAAACTTTATAATGTCAATGTATATAAGTTAAATTCGTACCAAAATGGGGTTGATGATGGGAGTAGGGGCGGCGAAGACGGGCTCGTTTCTGATGAGACTGGGAACAGAAGGAGAAGAAGAAGAGTTGCTAACCCTAGCAAAAGCAACAGGACGAGTTGGTTTCTTAAGGGAAGCTTGAGCAGGGGAGATAGTAAGGCAACTGTTAATGGAAGCAGTTGACATTTGGCTCAAGAACTTCCTTTTAGCTTTTGCTTGCTTTTATTACTCTTCTCACTCACTAGTATATATTATATAGTTGTGAAATGGATCTTCATCATGGGTCGGGTCACTTACATATAACAGTATTATAACAGAGTTGAAAGTGATTGCTAAGCAAATGAGAGCTTCAATCCATTGTAGATGAGGTTTGTACGTTGGAGATTGAATTTGCAGTACTTTTGCCTGGAAATTAAAGCATATGGCTAAGAAGCCAAGAACCTAAGATTTTTTTTATTTTTTTTGAATTAAAGGAGAGAATAATTGGATACTAGTGATTGTTATGGTTGAATATGGGGCATGTTGTTTTTTCTTGTGGGGCAGTTATTTAATCCTCAATATCAATTTCCACCTATATTTGCATTCTTTTTTAGTTAGTCGTATGGTTCGTTGTGTCATTTTCATGGTTTGGATTATGCATGCAATGGCCATTCCCCTCGCCAGATTCATCCTAATGATCTTCTATTAATCGCCATAATCTCAACCTAAATTTTCATCTGCATCGATTCGAAAAAGTAAATAATGAATATGACTGATTTATGGATTATGTTAAAACCATGGAACCAGTCTTTTGTTCTTGTTATTGCAGATTTGCAGTTTCACTTCCGGAGTGATCAGAACTAATTTTTTTTTACTTAAATTCTAAATCAACTCAACAATTATTGCTTCTTCGTAAGGGCGGAGTACATGTAATGGAGAGAATTTAACTGACTCCCTTTTGTCAAAAAATTAAACTGCCACAATAGTATAAAAATATTTTTTTTCCCTGTACTGACAAAGTCGGTTCAAAAATTACTTTTGTTCACATGTTAAATCCAAGGTATTGGATTCTTCCTTTTCATTTAACCCCTTTAATTTGTTAAAATTTCTTACTCCACTATTGGCTCCACTTATCTTTAGAGCATGTTTGGAAAGCCAACTAGGGGTTGAGTTTGGGCGTAATTACGCAGTTTGACATATTTGTTTGGTCAAGTAATTACTTGGTCAGCATGGAATTGGATGTAATTGGAGGGGTCTAATTACACTCTCAAATTCTCAAGGGGGAAGTGAGAATTGGTGGTAATTACACTGTGTAATTACAAGGTTGCCTTTTAGTTTATTTTCTTTTTGTTTTATTTTAATTTATTTTCTGTATAACTTTTTATTTCTATTATTTTACTTTTTTTAATTTTATTTTTACTTTTTAATTTCTTTTGAAATTTTAAAATATATTTTTCTTTGTACATTATTTATCTTTTATTTCTCTACCTTTACTTCTTGTGATTCCATGTAATTGCTTATATTTGATTTTTTATTTATTTTATTATTTTATTTTTCTACACCTCCTAAATTAGAAATAATGAGTCATTAAGAAACTTGACATATAATGAATGATGCAATTAAAGTGAAATTTCGTTGTTGAATGTGGTTATAAACTTATTATATTTCCTAATCTTAAGTTGTAGTGGAACTTACTATTTATGTTGGAATTTGACATATGTTAAACTCTTTTTTTTTTGGATTTTGAAATTGTGTTATATTCATGGTTCCAAGTTACTTGTTTCATTAGTATTGGCTCACATTGAATGTTGTTCATTTTTTAGTTAGAATTGATAGATTAGTTTTGTCAAACATTTGAATAATGTTATGACATTATATTTATAAATACTAATTTATTTTATCAAACATGAATCCCGTGATGTTCTTACAAAATGTGTGTTTTTAGTTTTTGTAAGTATCTAAACTAAATATTATTAATTTGGAAAATATATATAAATTTTACAATATTCGTTATAAATATATGATTAATAATTAATGTATATTCACGAAAAAAAATATATATCTTAAATACCAAATATAATATCATTTATACTTATAAAATTTTATAGGCATATATTTATCATATTAAGTTTTAAATTTTGATAACTACTTCATTTAAAATTTAATTTAACTGTGTAATTATACTTGTGCAATCAAACAGTAAACTTGTAATTACACTATGACAAACAAACAGGTCGTCGTAATTACACAAAGTGTAATTACTAGGTTATGTAATTACTATCCTATTAATTACACCAATTCTATTTAGCGGGTGGCTTTCCAAACAGACCCTTGGTGAAAATAAGGAGATCAATTTGCGTCTAATTTTGGCTAGTAAGAGTCCAAAGCAAGGATTAGAATAAACGTAATAGAATTAAAAGGATTGAAATCTCTAGTACTCGTGAGTTAAGCATGCACGAAACATATAATTAATATCGTGTTTGTGGATTTTAGTTAATCTAAAATCCTTCAATTAGCTTCAACAAACGATCTAAATCAATTAATTTTTTATTTTTCATGTCATGGGTTCGAAAAAGGCCAAATATCCTTATCAGATCAATGCTCGCCACATCCCACAAACTAAAAGAGATAGCTAAAGTGACATGTGTCAGCAGCTGCTGAAGTGATACCCAAAAGAACTGCAAATTCAAATATTAAAAATCTGGGTATACTTAAACAAACGAATGGAGCAAGGTAAATGAAAGGCAAGCCAGAAAGGTAGTGGATGAGAAAAGATAAGGTCCTATCTTCACTCAATTGCACCAGTGGCTATAAGTCAACAACTTCATGCCCCATATCACAATCTTTCAAAATTTATCTGCTTCAATTTTGAATTTTCAGTTTGGTAGAATTTTTTGGTTATTGCTATTAATGAATGCTGGCCATATGTGTTTCTGCAACAGTATGATCAGTGACAATATTGTGGAAATACTTGCACTTTCACTATAATTTGACAGGGTCTAACAAGTTACTCAACTTCTTTTTAGTTATCAATTCATGTCTATCTCTAAACACTTATGCATTGAATTGATAACCAACAGAACAATTCACCTAAAAAATTCTAAATGAATTTGTTGCACTAGCATCAACTTTATTTGATTTTCCATACTGCTCGTGTGTTTCACTTTATTTACAATATAAATAGATGATATTTCTCACCTTTGCATAATGTTGAGAGTCACCATTGCACATTGGCTTGCACATTGCCTTATATCTGTTTCTTTCCCAAAAGCTCCTGCACTTTTTAGATGATTTAGAACTTTTTTTAATAAGTAGTGGCCAGGCTAATTTTCCGGCACCTCAATTATTCCACTGAATACTTATTCTGTGCATCAAGACTTAGGCATACGGAAAAAGATCACTTACCAGATAGTTTAGTACTTACCATGTCAATGTACTCTTACATATACACCTCTATTAGCACATTGCAATTAGCCAATTGCAAGACTAATCGACCTATGCTTTCTCCGGCACATTAGAGCTATGTCGATCGGACTCTCTGTAAATGTCTCCAGATGCGTGTCAGATTCTCCAAAACAGTGTATTTTTAGAGGATTTGACACAAGTACGACAACATTTTAAAAAGCCCGTGTAACATAGCGCCTGAGACAATGATCTTACAGGAGTTCACAAAATGGAGCTTATATATCTACTATCCAATGTCTTCCTTGAGATTGTATGGAAAGTGGAGAGAGAGTCATCTCATTTTGGCAATGGATGCTAGAAGAAAAATTCTGGATTTATGCCCTCTTTCAATCCATGCAAAAACTCCTTATGCCTCTTTAAGCAATTTGAGAATGTGTATATCACTAGTCATGGTTTCGACATATTAGGCACATTAAACGGTGACGACATGTAGAGAGTTGTAGTGAAATGTTATAGGTATGTCAGATTTACAAAAATGGAAAAGATTGTTGAATTTTCTGACTTAGAAGCTGAAAGAATGTTGTCATGCTATTGCCATTTCTTCCAAGTGGAATGAAATTTGCATAAGGACAAAAATGCTATAACCTTAAGTCGCTTTCTCATCATCTCTGGATGTATTGATTTTGAATAAAGAATTTTGTTCAAATGATTAATTAACAAATTAAAGAGTCAACAGTAAAAAAGTTACTTTTATAATCTATGTTCATTGATACCAATATACATTTATTTTGGGTGATTAAGTGCTACATCAAGTAATCTTTGATGCCTATGACGGAGGGTGGGCCGATGAAGGCAGGTCAAGCACGACTGGTAGGCTTCTAGGCTAGCAAGCACACGTCATCCTAGGCGAATCCCACATCGAAATGAGAAAGGAAAGTGAAGAGCTTTATAAGGCATGACACAAATTCACATGGTATGCACGCTTTTGGGGCTCGGGGGGTGCACATGTCACCTTAGGAGAATCATACATCAAAATGAGAGAGGAAAGTGGAGAGCTTTATAAGGCATAACACAAATTCACATGATATGCACACTTTTGGGGCTCGAGGGGGTGCACATGTCACCTTAGGAGAATCCCACCTCTAAATGAGAAAGGAAAGTGAATAGCTTTATAACACATGACACAAATTCATATAGTATACGAACTTTTGGAGCTCGAGGTGATGTAGCCCAAAACAAATCCAACCCTCAAGTATATTTGGGATAATAAAGTAAAGCAATTTTGGCTCAAAGTTTTGTATACACGACATTGTCTGAGACAATATCCAAAAGTAATGAACTCGTAAAATGAAAGAATGGGCTGGGCTGCATTCAATCACACATGCAGAAGTACTCATTTAATTTGGGTTGGCATGAAATTACCATTTACCTTGTTATAGCAAGTATAACATCAGTTGATATTTGACCAGAGGGGCTGATATAGTGAAGATGGTACGAGTTCATTCATAACTCAATTTTAACTTAGATTTTGTATCTATTAAAATTCCACTAAATAAGTGCAAGTACGTAATAGATTTTGAACTCATTATATTTGATGAGACATGACAAAATTTCGAATAGGCATCCATAAAGTTCAAATAGTTCATATTTTGAGTTTCTTCTCTTAAAAATAGCCAGATTTATAAGTGGCCATTCAAAAATAGCCACAGTTTCAAAGGTAATCGAAATTTAGCCACTTTCATGTAAAGATAAATCTGAACGAAAACACTGTTCAAAATCCGAAAAAATATTCCAGCATAACATACTGGAACTTCAGCATAATATACCGGTCCAGCATAATATACTGGAGTTTGGAGCA